GCCCTGGCGGGCGACTGTCCCGCGCCAGCTCGCGCTCTGTCGAGTTCTTCCTGTCTCGCCGGCGCAGGGCGCGCAGCAGCGTGTGCCGCCGCAAGGTGGCCCAGGCCAGAGAGAAGCGCTTCACCTTCGTGCTGGCCGTGGTCATGGGCGTGTTTGTGCTGTGCTGGTTCCCCTTCTTCTTCAGCTACAGCCTGTATGGCATCTGCCGCGAGGCCTGCCAGCTGCCTGACCCGCTCTTCAAGTTCTTCTTCTGGATCGGCTACTGCAACAGCTCGCTCAACCCGGTCATCTACACCGTCTTCAACCAGGACTTCCGGCGCTCCTTCAAGCACATCCTCTTTCGACAGAGGCAAAGGGGCTTCCGACAGTGACCTCGCATCCGGGACAGCCTGGGCTGCGGGGCACAGCCGGGAGTGCCCTGGTGGGGGTACCCTGTTGGCATCTGGGGAATGGGTAGGAGAGAGGGGCCACCCTTTCCCTCCCCTCTCAGCAAGGGTCTACCTCTGGGCCTGCAGGCCTGGGTCCAGCTTCTGGGGCCCTGTGGGGTGTGGCTGTGAAGGCGGGTAAAACAGGCAGTGAGGTTTTGGCCCCCACCTGGACCGGAGGAGCCTCCCCCAGACACGTGGCCCAGTATCCCGCTGAGCAAGGGCTGACTTCCTGGGGAGCAAGGACAGTGTAGCAGGCACTGGCAATCTTTGATTACTGAAAGTATTTAAATGTTTGCCAAAAAACGACAGCCAAAACAACCAAACTATTTTCTAAATAAACCTTTGTAATCTAAGTGCCGGGAGCTGCCCTCTGTCCTTCAAGCCCAGGTGGGGTGGCCTCCACACCCTCAGCCTGCCTCACCACCCTCCACTGGTGCGGGAGTGCTCTGAGGACCAGCGGGTTCCAGGGTCCCCTCCTGCGACTTATTAGAAAGCCGAATTTTTGTACACATGCAAAACATTCTCGGGATTCTTGCACTGTAAGAGGCTAAGAAGTGAAGGAATCTGGAGCCCCTGGGGACGGACCTCCCCTTCCTCTCCGTTTCCAGCTGGCCTATTCCAAGGAAGCAGGGTGGGCTGCCCCCAGTCATCAGACCTGTGCTAGCCAGTGACTCACCACCTGCTGGCATTTCTAAGGCCCTGAGCAATGAAGGTGGGTCCTGCCCTGGCTGATGAGGCAGCTGGAACCCAGGCCTGTGCCCTGGGGCATCTCCCACCCTGTGCTCACCTTCACCCGTCAGCAGGGACTGGAGAAGGGCAGGTCCACAGTGCAGGCTTCCTGGGTGCTGGGCACTCAGCTGGGGACCCCACAGGCTCCTCCGGCCCCTGACACAGAGCAAGGCTGTGCCTGGGGTAGCTGGGTACTGGGCTGGAAGCTGGAGCCGGGCACAGCAGGGGAGGGGGACCCAGCATGCACACCTCCTGTCCTCCACCCCCTCACCCCCAGGTTCCTCCCTGCTGCCTCCCTTCTGGCATGTCTCCTAGGTCCCCTAGCAGGTGTCTTGGCCTCTTATGGCCCAGGGTCCGTGCCTGTGAGTCCTGCCTTTATCTCCAAGCCCTGTCCCCCAGGCAGGGACCAGGGCAAGTCCATGGGAAAGACCCCTGCAGACACAGCTGCCTGACCTTCTCATCCCTGCATGGGTCCTGGAGCAGCCCCCCATCGCTAGGTCACGCAGTGACATACCAGTTGCATGCCAGGCTCGGGCACAGATGGGGCGGCAAGGGAAGGTGCTGGAGTGGCTGCCCGGCTGGATCAGAGCCTGCCTGACTGCCCACTGCCAGCCTAGACGGGCACCCAGCTCTCCCTGGGCCTCAGTCCCACTGTGGAGAGGGGTGGTGGCACTGCAAGGAGAGCCAGGGGCCTTGGGGTGACCTCTGCCAGGAGGGAGCATGGTGAGTACACTGGGAAGGGCAAGGTGTCATCTGTCCTTAAAGAAAAGACCCCAAAGCCTAGGGTCTTAGGATTTCCTCACCAGTGTCTGCACTGTGCAGCTTTCAGTGGCAGATGTGGAGGCAGCCCTCACCCCCAGCCCAAACCAGCATGCCCTTGCCTTGAGAAGAGTACCCTTCGGGAGCACATTTGGGGGGCCCGGAGAGATGAACGAACCTGCCTGGGGTGGCGCAGCTGGTGATAAGACCCAGCTGGGGTCAAGCTATGTGGCTCCGATTCCTGTGCAGTTCTACCAACCCCTCCTGCCTCTCTGAGGTCAAGGCATGGGCTGCTTTCTGTGGCAGAGGAGGGGACCTGGGGCAGGGGCCAGAGACGGGAAGGTACGGGCGCACTTTAGAAATGGAGGCTGTGCTTGTGACTGGGGTGGAGCCCCGTGCCAGCACAGGAGGGTGAGGGGCTGGGTGCCACCTTGGCTCAGGGCTGCCCGCATTGTAGCTGGGGGTCGGTCTGTGTGTCTGGGTTTGCTTCGAACCTGAGACCTACAGGGGAAATGTTTCTGCCCTGGCCTGAGCCTGCAGGTTGTTTAGAGCTGTCCCGTGTGCAGGGCCCTTTGGGGCAGGTTGGGGACAGCCTGCAGCTGGGACCCATGGATGGGCATCCCTCACAAGGATGGCAGCCACCTGCTCCTCCTTTTCCCAGACCCAGAGCTGCCCCTGCCAGGCATGTGGGGACTGCTGAGCGCCCTGTCCTGCCCTCAGTCTGACCACTGCCGGGCCCTCATCTTCGTGGACCTGGCCCGGCCCACCACCTTCGAGTCTGCTGTGCCAAGCCAGAGTTCTCAGTCCCTGCCTTGGCCGAGGAGACCCAGGCTCAGGGGTGACTGTGTGGTCCAGGCTCTGTGATGGCTGTGGGGGGACAGACCATGAAGCCTGGAGGGCACTGGCCCCATGCTGGCTTCTCCGGCCCCTATGCCTGGCCCAGGCCGTGTACGACTCATCCTGCTCATGCGGTGTGGATTCTGCGCTGTCCTCCTCTGTGAGCTTGTGGACAGCAGGGAGAGGAGTAACCCGGATGTTCTCGTAGCTCGGGGGGAATGACCAGGGAGCGGTCCTGGGCGCAGGGGGAATGGCAGTTCCTGGAGATGCAGCTCTGTCTCCCAGTGGCCCTGGTTCTGTGGTGGGCCATGGGGTGGGGGGCGTTGCCGTGGCACTGGCTGGCAAGGGAGCCTCCCTTCCTGGGCTGCTGGCAGGGCTCAAACATCCCAGCACGGCAGAGCAGAGCACACAGCACCTGCAGGCCAAGTCGGGTCTCCCGGCAGCCTCAGCCTGTGGGGGCTGAGCCCCAGCCGTCAGCCCACGGGGTCTCCCACAGGCAGGAGAGTGGAGGCGGCACCTCCGGCATCCAGGGCACCTGACACCTCCATGTGTCGCTCCACCCCCAGGGAAGGGCTGCCCTGCTCCCCAGGGCTGCCTGAGGGCAGCCTGTGGGTGTGCTGCAGGGCTGGGCGGGCAGCGTTTGGGTGCTGGGCGTGTGGATTTGCCAGGCAGGGGCCTGCATCCCCAGGCCCTTCCTCCAGACCCAGTGCCCTGGCTTTGCATTCTTCCCCACTGGGTGCCAGAGGGTCAGGGCCCCAGCAGGGCACAGTGCCATCCTCTGAAGTTCGCCTGGGAAGCAGAGTCAGCCTCAGCCTCTGGGCCAAAAGAAAGCCCTGGGGACGGAAAATGTTTTTCTTTCCTGCCAAGAGGATTTGTAGCTGCTCCCAGTAAAAAGCGTCGGCACAGTAGGATCATTATGGCTGAAATAAGGAATCAGCCGTGCAGACAGAGGGAATGCATGGGTGCACAGTCCTCTGAAGGAGAACACAAAGCATGGACAGAGCTGCCTGGCAGCCAAGGAGAGAGAGGGAACAAGATATGCTTGCCCCTCACCCCCAGGGCCGCTAGGTAGACAGAGCTGGGGCCAGGGCTTGGAGGGGAGCAGGAGCCCCGGACAGCAGCCAGTCCCACAGGGCAGACTCAGCTCTCCAGTGTCTCCCCGTCCCTGCTGCACCCCAGAGGGCATTCAGGCCAGTCTGTCAGGGTGGTGAGTAACTGAAGCCCGGCCTGTAGGACCCGGGGGACAGGGGGCACCTGGGGTCCGAACTGAGCTCTGCGGGATCAGAGAGTGGGCCAGGCACGGCCCTGCGCCACCCTCGCTGCTGGCACCCAGGCCTAGGATAAATCCACCCCATGGAGAGCACCAGACCTGGACCCGGCGGCCCTGCACTGGGCCAGCCCCCCCCCGCTTCCTCTCCGGTGACCACAGGCGACACCGGTCTGACTGGGGACACTGCTGCCTTGGCGAGGCAGGCTTCCTCAGCCACGTGGAGCCCCGGAAGGACCGTCCCTGGCCCAGGCTGTGTGGGTGACAGAGGTGACGCCCCACGGTGACCACGCGACACCGGTCTGACTGGGGACACTGCTGCCTTGGCGAGGCAGGCTTCCTCAGCCACGTGGAGCCCCGGAAGGACCGTCCCTGGCCCAGGCTGTGTGGGTGACAGAGGTGACGCCCCACGGGGGCTGGGGGCCGGTGAGAGACCCCACACAGCAAGAGGCTGGAGGAGGCAGCTGCGTGGGGCTCGGGAATGGGGATTTTCCACCTCACGTGCAGGCCCGGCTGCCGGAGCGTCTGTTCCTCCCGGTGGGCGGTTTCCCCTGCTTCCTCAGCTCTTTGCAGACTGTGTCTTAGAAAACAGGGGCCCCTGTGAGGCTTCAGGAGAGCTGGGCTCCTGGGAAGGCGTGGGGACGCCATCTGGAGGGGGCGCTGTCTCGATCACTAACCTGCTCCCCATTTCACCAGGGCACTGAGTTGCCCAGGCTGGGCTCCGATCTGTGATCCTCCTGCCTCAGCCTCCCACAGTGCAGGGATAACAGCCTTCCTCGGGGTGTGCAGAATCAGGACTGCTGGACCTGGAGCTCTCCTCTCTGCTGGCTCCATTGCAACAATGCTGAGACTAAGTCAAATGGGCTCCTGGTTCACACAGCCTCATGTGGCCTCCCTGCAGCTGCCCCTCCATGGGAGCCGAGCCCGCACCCTGCTCATGCCTAGCTGTGTGGAGAATAATTCACTTGCTGCTTCCCTCGATATGACCCCTACACACCAGTGTAGACCTGTCTGTCCCTGTACCTGTTATGTGGCTGATCATCCTCTGGGCTCCCGCTGGGGCCTGCACCACAGAGCAAACCTCTGACCTTTGACAACACTCCTCAAGCGTAGAGCTGCCGGAAGCCTGGGCCTCTTGCGCCCACAGTGGATGGTGGCAGCTGTGATTCCCGGACGTGCTGGGTGCCTCTGTGACCCCAGGCAGACAGACTGGGAGGGCCAGTGTGGGCTTCTCCGGGCTGTACTGGGGTCCGAGCTTGCAGAGGTCACAGTGATCAGACTGGACCATGCTGACCAGGCCGGGGACCCTGGGACCCCACAGGCCACACTCTGTAGGTGCTTAGTCGGTGTCGGGAGACCGGGCTGTGAGCGTGTCCCCTCTGCCCCTATGGAAAGCCCAAGCTGCTGTGGGCTGGAAGGGCTCTGCTGGCCCTGCCCGGTGCTCATCCAGGTGGGAGAAGAGAGTTCTATGCAGGCCAAGTCCCCGGGTCCTACCTGAGCCTGGCTCGCTCACTTCCCGCCTTACATTCCTCCTGTGACAGGGAGCTCACTGCCTCCGCAACCACCCAGTTCACACAGGCATTGTGGCCCCTGAGGTTTCCCATTTTGTCACCTGTGAATCTTCATTCCTGAGCTTTTGCCCCCCACTCCCTGCCCCCCCTCCCCGTCCACAGGTAAATTGCCCAGGGCATTTCAGGCAGCAGAGTCAGAGTGAACTTGCTTTGTGTCTCTCCCTGTGCCCTGCTCCTGGGTTCATGCCTAGACAGGCAGGAGAAGCAGAGTTGTGCACTTGTGGGGCTGGGGACAGCGCCCTGCACATCACCAGGGAGCACACAGCAGCCAGGGGCCAGGGCCAGGACCAGCTGTGACCCCACAGAGGAGCTGCCACAGGAGGGGGACACCCATGTGGGGTCCCCTGAGCACAGGCCGAGGGGCCCCTTGGGGCTCAGACAGGGTCACCTGGCACCAAAGGTGCTGGTGTCCTGGCCTCGAGGCGGTTCCTGGACTCCTGACCCTGAGCCCTGGCCCAGCACACGTGTGGCTGGTCCTGCCGCCTGTGCCATCTGTGCTGCTGCTCTGGGCCTTGTGCCCCTCACAAAGGGCCAGATAAGTGGTGGGTTCTGCCCTGACTGAGGGGACAGCTGGGGCGGGGACTCAGCATAGCTCTGCAGAGGAGGGGCCGTCTGTCTGGGCACCGTAGCCCCAGCTCTGAGGATACCGTGTCCCCACATACGCTGGGCAGCAGGGCCAGTGCCCAGCACCCTTCCAGATGAGGGGCCTCTTGCACACTGAGGCGGGGCCCTGAGCACTGGCTGAGCTCCTGGCCCCGGGCAGACTGAGCCCCTTAACTCAGTGGGCCCCTCTGTCCCCAGAGGTCCTCAGGCAAGAGAGGTGCACAGCTAGAAGCTGAGCCTGGTCTCCAGCCAGGGGCGGGGATGCCGGAGGGTGGGGACAAGGGCTTGCTGAGTGGCTGTACCACAAGGGGTCCTGTGTCACTGACCTCCGCTGGGCCCCTCGGTGTGAATGCACACTCACCGTCAGTGGGGCTGCCCCGCGCCTGCACACTGTCCCAGGGGTCGCTGGCACTGAGCCACCTCGGGAGGACAGAGGCCTGCTCACCTCGGCTATCTCCAGGGGGTGAGGTTTGCCAAGCCGAGCCTGGAGGTGGCTTCCTGGGGTGCCGGCCCCAAATCCCTCTCTGGGGGATGCACAGCAACCCATGGCTCCCCCAGGGCGGGGCCTAGGGAGCCGCATTTGCCTGCTCAGAAAGCGGCTCCTGGTGCCCATGCACAGTCGTGCTGGGGCTGAAGTGTGTTGCATGGCTGTGGGACAGGCAGGGCCGCTCCCTGGGAAATGAAAGTGGTGGTCCAGTCACACCCAAGGACGAGCTGCCCGGGGGCTGTCTCCTGACACAGGACACGACCTCCTGCTGCGATGCTGGGTACCCCCATGGTGGTGGCTGGGGCCCCATGGTGCTGCCAACCTGGCCAGCGCTGACCACCACCCCCAGCCTCTCTGTGCCCCTGGCTGCAGGCCAGGAGGTGAGGGGAGTTGGGAGGGGTACTGAGGGCGGGAGCAAAGACCCACCCACCACCGGTCTCCACTCAGATGTGGCAAGCCAAGGCCACAGACATCCAGACGAGGCTGCAGGGCATTCACTGCCATGCACGGCCCTCTGACTGTGGGGCACTGGCCCTGCAGGCACCGGCACTGATGCCAGCTGCAGTTTGTCCCGCAGCCCCCTGGTCTGTGGCAGTGACAGCCGCCCTGCTCCTGGCTCAGGCTGGCTCCCTGAGAGGTGCTGCCTTGCCTCGCTGCCTCCCCTGGCTCCTCTGCTCATCCACCCTGCTCATTCAAGAGCATCCATCCGGTCTGGCTGCGTGAGCACTTGTGGGCAGCGCACGCGATGACCAGAGCCTTCCTGTGGATACTACCGTCACTACGGCAACCAGCCCCGCCCCGCTGTAGCCGTTCCTTCAGGAACCACAGCAGGGCCACAGTGCACCCAGCACGGGTCAGCAGCGACGCACCCAGCCAAGAGGCCTCTGTGGTCTCCTGCAGGGACAGGTGATGGCCACAAGCACACAAGCACACCCAGCTTCGCCAACCACGGCATAGGGACCAGGCGACCGGACCCCAAGCAGAGTCAGAGCTGCCCCTTGGGCAGGGACAGGGGCAGGAACTCCTGGCTATGCAGGCAGTGGTGGCCAAGGGTTGGGGAGTTGGCTCCATGCTGGGGTGCTGGGCCCCGGAACAAGACAGCACACACAGCAGCGGAACCACAGGCCCAGGGTCCCCGATTCAGGTACACAGGACCACTGCCCTCCCCATGGCCTCATGGTCCCTGTGCCCGTCTGTGACTTGGTCCCTCTTCTTATGAGGGCATCGGGCACCCTGGACAAGGCCTCGACTCCAAACACGGTCACATTCTGAGGTCAGCGCTTTGGCATGTGAACGGGG